GGGGGGGGGGGGGAGGAGTGTAGTGGCTGGCCGTTTAATGTTTAACCCTATTACATGCACATACTTTTATACTTAGTATTTTTATGGAGAAAAGGGCATAACATCTGGCGTACTCGATGTGTTTTCTAGTCTCATTGCTGTCTCTCCTGTCTCCACATCTAACACTATGTACTGCCACGGTGGAGAACAAAATGACAGAAGCCTGCACATTAGTGAGTCAGTGAATCAAGAGACGGCGCCACCAGTCGTAGGTGACGTCATTCCAGGACGTACATCGGGCGCCTATCTCGGTTAGGTAAACTGATGACTTGACTGGTATATCATATCACTATTTGACTCTGCAGCAAATACATGTAGAATATAGCATTGTGTAACAAGGCAAAATGAACCGATTTTGATATTGAGCATATAACATTAAAACTATATAATGTATAATCGTTCCACCTTTTGACTTTGACTTTTATAGAACAAAAATATGAAGATGTAGATGTAGGTGCAGGTTTAGCATTCCATAATCTATATGGGCTTCATGAGAGATATCTATTTCTGTTCAGGTTATTTCAAGGTTTGGGAAAGGGGGCTACATTTTCCTGGAGTGTATCCCCATCCAGGACTTAAACAAAGACACAGTGCTGACGTCTGCTCCCTACACAGCTTTCCACCCCGACAGACGGCTGAACAACCAAATATCCACTGATGGCATATTTACATCACTGAAACAGGAGGCGGTGTTTGAGGTAATTACATGTACCTGCGGTGCCAACTTGCATGTTGTTTCTGCATGTATTGAATACAATGGTTATTACAAATATTGTAGCTTGTCGTTAAACTAAATCGTGATATGGAAAACGTAACGGTAAATACTTAAGCTACCGATGCAGCGACTTAATAATACAATGAATTTAATTATATAATTTGGGGTTGGAGTGCAGGAAACATGTCATTGTTGTTTCAGACCCCGGTGTTGTCAGCCAGTCAGAAACTGTCACATACACGACTACAGCCCCTATCATGGACAGTTTGGACATTACCACGTGTTCTAAGATCTGTTCCGGGCGTGAGGGCGTGCACCTTGTGGTCCACAAGGCGGGGCCGGGGTACAGAAAAGACGCTGGGTTTCTTCGTTTAGAAGCGTCATATTCGATTTTCACAAGCCTTGAAGAATATGTGCTTGTTCCTGATTCTGTAAAAGTTTCTGCGTAAGTGTGTGAACCGTTGTGTTTGACATCTTCGTATCCGATGTGCTTATCACGTATTTCAGACCAAGCACCAACAGTTAGGTGTTTCAATACCAAGGTGCATTACCATAAAGTTATAGAAAAATTAACTAAGAACGTCAGCTTATCAATTCATTAGAACTTTTAAGTGTGTCTTTATTTTTCAAAATTTAGGTACATTCATTAAGGGCATTGCATGGTGATCATTAAGAAATACATTTTAACCGACATTACAGGCACTGTAGGCCAGCTACGGTAGCCATGCACCACGTATCCTGTTGGACCCGGTACCTGCCTATGTCCTGATGGAAGCAATAGTATTGAGGTGATTTGTGTCATTTGTGTTTTAATGTCTTAACAAAACTGGTACTAATAAGTTTATGTGTTGCAGGACATTTTCTGTTGGTTCATACGTTTCTAAGTCCCATTAGTCTTTCAACATCAAAACGTGAGTGATCAAACTTCATGGCCGAGCAACCAAATACAACATTTACAGATTTAGGTCGATGGCAAATTTTTGTAATATAAATATTAAAGTCATATTTTAATATATTTCTTAAAAGATATGGAACCAATTGTTAATATTTGGTTATGATTGACAGCATAACCACAGTTGCCAGTGTGACAAGTGCCCGGATGGTAAAACTAAAAAGGTGATCACTGATGACCCTTCTCAGCCTGCGTGTCCATGTCACTGTGCGTACGGTTGGCCACGGAAGATGAACGCAGACGGCACGTGTGAGGTGCGGTACATGTAAATATTCACAAAAAAAATATGGTGTATTTGTGTAAATTGTCATGAAGGTTTTAAGTAAAAAAAATTTAAGATTATGGTTGAATCGAATGATTTCTATGCGCAGTACAATCCAGACATCATTGTTATCACTTTGATTATGTTTTAAAATAATGCAACCAAGGCAAAACGTTGATATTTTAGTGAATTTTTGTGTACAACTTTAACTGACTTAATGCTTTTGACATCCGTATATCAATCGATCTTGAAACCATATTTTACTGTTATTATGTTTCTGCCCATTATATCAATGTGTATATTTCTAGTGTGGCTGTGAGTGTCCAAATGGCGGTTATGGTGCCGGTAAACCTGATGGTGGCTGTCATTGTTCATGTGAATGTAAAAACTGCCAGAACTCGATTATAACTAGTGACAGAACGTATTACTGTCCGAATGATATGTGAGTATACTGCACCCCACGTAGAAGCACAGACAGGTATATACTTATACTGGTAAACGTGGACACCTGTTATATTCTGTAATTTATCAAATATGCTTGTAATGAAGGAACTATTTACAGTTACGTGCTATAAGTTTCTGAAATACTGAAGTCATCTGATTTGGATGACTTTTTTCGCCTCTACAGCTGCCCGGTGTGTGACTCTGCCTACGAGCCCGTGTGGGAAGACTGTCGCTGTGTTTGTCGTGAGAAGACCCAGTGTGGACTGTACCCTGCCTGTGTACGAGGTCGACGTGGAGATCAATGTGGCCAGCCGGACTGTGAGCCATGCAGTTTACAGACGGACAACGGGTTGCAAGGTGAATCGCACCGAATTTAAATGTAAATGCACCATAGGCTGGCTTGAATTCACTGGCAAAATAGACACTTATTTTCAATTTGTTATTTTGTACAAATGTTTTCCTTTAAATTATTTATCATTATATATCAACTTCATTATTTGGTTGTGTCTTATGTCTGCTAAATGTTCTATAATCTAGCCACTGAATTCATACAAACAGTCGTTGGTAGGACCTTTAACATTACAAACACCCCTATTGTGTTTCAGAATGTTTCGGCAATGGTGTTTGCACCACTCAGTTGTACTTCTGTAGCTCCAGGTGTGTGTGTTCCCGATTCTGGGCCGGCGTCTGTTGTAATGTCAGAGTACCCAGAAAACGTTGGAGGTGATCCTCACTTACAGACAGCAGATGGTGGGTGAACATCGTCAACATTTCTCATCGAATTTAACTCATTTTATCTTTAGACATGTTTTTCAAAATGTTTGGAAAGGCGTAATGTACTGCAGCTCTTTGAATCACATGTGTAACATACGTGTATATTTGAGAGTATTAATATAATTTTTCTTTGCAATTATTCGGCGATTTAGTATGCATCGGTGTTTATTTCCTGATCTAATCATACCGTCTCGAAAAACAAAGGAAAGCAATCACCGTGAAATGAAATAACCGTTGTGCACCATGTTTGCTAAAGTAATGATATAACTTACTGCAAGAATTCGTGGTTTCCTAAGGTATATCCTACGACTACCATGGTATCGGAGAGTTCTGGGACTGTATGAGTACAGCTAACGACTTTGGCGTGCAAGTCAGGTTCTTTGGCTATAAACAAGCGTCACTGGTCGGTGCCGCCGCGGTCAAGGTCGGCCACAGTGTGGCCACCATTACTACACCAGCCAATGCTACTGAGACCACCCTTCCTACTTGAAGGTGAATTGGGAATGTAGAAAGTGTACTAGTAATATTGCCTTGAATAATATGACATAAAATGGGGAAATATACTATCAAACTTTGGATCTAAGAAACAGCATGATGGTTGCACTTGTTTTATCAATCACATGGTCAATGAAACGAATGGATGTATTGTTTTAAGAAATTAATGAGATATCATTGCAGACGTCTTACTGCATGTCCCATGTAAATCTCGGTAATATAGAAAAGCCCGTATATCTGGCATATAAAACGCATATACGTACGTTTAGATCACAATTCTTTTTTACTTAGAATTGACGGGCTAGTCCAGAGCATAACCAAAAACAACACAAGATTGACGCTTAACAACGACACCGTCATTGTAGACATTGCTAAAGTCAGGAACAACGCCACTGGTGCCGTGATGATGATTGCAATCCAGTATGACACCGGTATGTATACTGTTATATTTATGTTATTTCACCCTAAGGCGTGTAATTTGAAGAAAATATCCTCATGCACGATAGCCACTGGATGTGATATAGACTGTGAGTTGATAACTGGTATGTGTTCCGCTATATATAGAGCGGCAGAGCAAAGTCCCATTAATTTTTTTCCATTATCTGAATAGTTACCCCTTTCCTTTCCTCACGCCTGTGGTGATTGGCACTGATTGTGTCAACGCTTTATTTCCCCTTAGGTGTATCTGTCACAGTAGACGTCCGGTTCAGTCCAGTGATGGGGCGCCTCTTCCTTAACGTGCGTTCTGGTCTAACTTCCAGTTTTAAGGGGCAGACGTCTGGACTGTGCGGGCTGATGGACGATAACCAGGACAACGATTTCACCATGGCCAATGGCACCGTGGTCACCAAGGACAATGCAGTGGAATATGCCGAGTCATGTGAGTCATAAGGAAAAAATAATACAGCAACTATTAGAGAGAATGATCAATGTACTGATGAGCTTGATTACATATTTATTCTTGAAATTCAGAGTATGGAGATGAAACACCATATGGTTTGTAGACTGTATATAGGCTTGTAATTAATATGCAATATTCTTTAGCGTGTTTAGAAAGAATATTCAACCATTTGCTCCTTTGAAAACATTTTAAACATTTGTCGTTATCTCCACAGGGAGAATTAGTACTTCATTTTCTGGTTCTGGATTATACGGAAGTTGGTCCTGGGACAGTTCAAACTTCCACGCTGATGACATCATGGACCCGTCCTTCACCGACCCCAGTCTATACAATCCGGTCTACGGCCCTGTAACGTGTCACAGGCTGAGATGAAGGTCAGTGCCCTTTTACCTATTTATAACGCATAGCCATTGCGGTCAAAATGACTGTGTCCACCACAAATACGCAATGTCACACTGGTACATCAATACAGAATTATGCTGTAAACGTATGGTAAACAATCTGATTAGATACTTTATATGAAACCGCTCTGTTTCAAGAAGACTTATTATCTGATTTATTTTCTGATAAAGTAGTGTTGTCTCGGACACTTATTGTTGTAATTGCTTCACTTGTGCTTTACATTACCGCATAGTTTTAGAAAGCTCTTGAAGTTATTTCCAAATACCCCAGTACATTCAAGGAAAATAGATACATGTGGTAATTCCAAATGATTGGATTATCAAAATTAGTAGCATAGTCGGTGAGGTGTAAAGATGAGCCCGAGTAGGTGACATTAACATTTGCAACCTCTTTAATGCTATACCGTCAATACCCCAATATTCAGGCTGCAGAGACGGTATGTCAGGGAAAGGACTGGAGGGCGTATTACTGCAGGAGTGTGTCTATGACATCGTGGTCACGAAAGATATCACTTTCTCCAACCAAGAAACATACGAATTAAGTGAGTATTAATATATATATATATATATAGAATTTCCAACACCACTCCTTGCCTTATCTGCCTGTCTTAAATAAAAATTAATAAATATTCCGTATTAAAACGCTAACATACTTTGTACATGTGCAGTTTCACAGTCTAGTAGCACGTAGAGAGTTGGAAAAAAGAATATATATATATATATATATATATATATACATATATACATATACACAGTGGCACAACCAGATATAATAACTGATTGATAAAACTGAGAATATTAATGGATATTATAAAATCATAAATAAAAGATCTTTTTTCCACTTTTTTCTATTTCCACTTTGTTTCTAAACATGTACCTTATGAAACTGCGACATCCACTGCTCTGTGCAATAATAATAATAATAATAATAATAATAATAATAATAATTTATATAAATATAGATGTGGTTTGAATTATAATACAAGTGACAATACTTACGCCAATATCACTCCGGTTCATACAGGTTCCTGTGGTTCCTGCGTCAATGGTGTGTGTGACAGCGGTTTCTGTGTGTGTATTGTGGGCTGGGAAGGGACAGCCTGTGACCAGAAAGGTAGCTATAGGCTTACAAAACACCCGTTTACTGTATGCACTAGATTGCTCTTCTGGAGCACTCTGTTTTGTATGATAGTCAAAGTTGCGTACTGTATAGCATTTATCCTCCTTTCTCTCGCCACGCTTCACCACCAAACATTCCTCTGACGGTTGTGGCCTAACCATTATCAGTCTTGGTAATAAACAAATGTATCGCAGTCACGATTTCAAGTCTTCTTTGGTCAGGAAGAGACTTGTAAAACGCATCAAGAAACAAGAAGTTATGTCTAGTAGAATTAATTTAATCATTATGATGTATTTTATTTTAATAATATTGTGTTTGATAGAAAGCTTCAAAGCATCGCATCAGTAACGCTATAATATGAGTAAGTGTATAGAAAAGGAATAGGTGTGATGCATATCATAATGTGTCATACCTCACAATAGTAATTTCCACGCCCAGTGATGTATAGGCTAATAGGGTAATTTTATAATAATACGTTTTTCAAATACGTTTTGCACGTATTACTAATTCCTTAGTTATGCGTGCAATACCTGTATGTTTTCTGAACATATACATGTATATTTACAATTAACCTATTTGGGGACATGCCAAGCTAAGAAAAAAGTAAAATAACCCAAAAAAAATGAAAAAAATAAAGAAGATGAACCGAGGATGATGTACAGAAAAAGATTACCGCAAGTAAATGAAACAAATTATATTCTCTTTACTTCAGCAACGGTGGTAAAGTCCCCATAAGAACCATGGTACCAGACAGTGGGCTTCAAGGCCGGCGCAGGCGCAGTTGGTGGAGTGGTGGCAGTGTGCCTTATTGCTGTTGTTGCCTATCGCTGTATCTGGGGACAGAAATATAAAGTCGGCTCAATGCCAGAACATCCCCGTAGGTCGTCCCCCATGGCCTACACACACCAGATGACATCTGTGGGGGCAAACAAATACGTCACGGAAGGAGACATCGGCGACAATGAGGACATTAATGCCTCGGCGGATAGTGAGAATGAGACTTCATTTCCACCTGGGAGACATGCATTTAGCAATCAGGCATTCACTTAGACATTGTTTTATTTTCTAAGATATTATAAGCAATGCTATAGATGCAAGCACTAAAGTGCTGATGACGGTACATGCGATATCTGATCTGTGCCGGCTTTGATTTTGACAGATGAATGTTAGATGCGCAGATCCAAGAAAACTAGAAAAATTATTTGGGAATGAAATGCATGTTTTGATTATTACGGTGCTTCAAGATAATAAAATTGACCAAAATATAACAACAAATGATTAAAATGACCAGAAGGTTTCAAATATTAAATATGAAGAAGGTTATTGATATTTTGAATATGTAATACACATGCCATCTTAATCCCGAGAAATTTATGGTAGTCAAACTTAGGAATTATTAATTGATCATAATATATTAAATAAGAAACGCTGCTAGTTTATTGGCGGCTTGCTGCAATGTGATATGGTTCGATCACGGACCAACAAGAATAATTTCATGCGTTATTAGCAGTTATATACGGGACCAACTGACATTTATAATTTTAATTTATTAATAATGAATTTTTTCCAAGTAATATTTTTCAAAAAGAGTAAAACCCACTTGTACTATTTTTATATCATATAACCTGCTGCTTGTCCAGCGAGGTCACACAATGAAAGTGGTTGTTGATTGAAAAATCAAATAAATATTTTACTTAGTGCAGGCAAAATGTGTCCTTTGCTTGCGTTATAATGCTCAACCTTAAATATCTTTTGAAAAACCCTTGTTAATTCCCAACACCCCAACATGGCAAACCCATTGCATGAAATGTCATAGATCCCTCTTAAAATAAAGTTCTAAATAGCCTAATACAATACTTCTCAATGGTAATCATTCTGTAGTATTTTAGTGGGAATCACCTTAATTTATTATAAACAGTAGACGGCACAGCTTTGTTACTTTAAATTAAGTCCCCTTTACACTGGACGACGTCTTTTCAAGCGTCCCTTCTACAATCAATAATGTGGTCAAGAAGCTCAATTGTCGCCAAAGCAATTAAATCGTGCCTCAGTGTAAATCCTTCTTCGTCCCTTGTGCCTTCTTTAAACGACCGAATATAGGTTTTACTGGTAAAATAGCGAGCGACCTGTGCGTCCATTGAGCTACCCGCCTGCCTCCCCTGTACGTCCCCTGCACAACCTACGGTGTTCAAGGGTTCTGTACCTTCATCGACGTTTAGTGGCTGTCATTCTTAGATATTTCTGCCTCCTGCTAGACCGATGAACGATGCTTGAACATTCTGTGTGCGATCTAAAAGACCTCCGTGTTCTTTGAGCGTCCAACAGCAACCTGACAAGTTTCGTGGTCGCACAAAGGACGCAAAAAGGACGCCGTCCAGCGTAAAGCGGGTTTTACTCCCAAGATCAATTTACAATATTGCAGATGTATATCTGACGATTTATGAAACCGCCAGACTTCGCTTCCATAGTTCAGGTTCGGTAACACATATGTATCAAAGAGAAAAAGTTCAGTTTCTACATTTGAGAGTACGTCTCTACTGATATTTTACTGCCAACAATTGCTTCACTTCCCTGATCAGCTATGGCTTTGTGTGTGGTATGGAACTTGCCATTGTGATTTAACAATAACCCTAGGTACGGAAAACTATTGGGTATACACTATATTTTCTTCAAAATTAAATCGAACCGAAACCCCGCTGATGTTACTAGACGCCGATTCTTTATTAAACAAATAAACTGTATTTACATTTTTACCGTAACTACTATAACTTTATATATATATATATATACTATAACAGTTTTCATCAAGCCCAGAAATAAACAGAGTACCTGTATCCTCCCATTTATACCACCCACGCCAATCTTCATTGGTCGTGCATTGAACTACTACTCGTAACTGTACCACCCAAACATCTCCACGTGCCTTATTTTACATCACAAACCGTGAATACAATAATTTTCCACTATACTAAGGAAACGCGGAAAATATTAATTATCTTAATATCTACTGTGCAGAAAACAACTCAAGACAACGCTACTAATTCACTAATATGCTTTATTTGAATATCTCTCGGTCGCCCACTCAGCCGAATATACAGTAGCTTTTTGTGGCCGCGTTTGCCTATAGTGCAATGAACTCTTCTTAATGTAATTTATCTTATATAATGAGTTACACTCGATTGATCTGAAGTGCCAAGCACATATCTGTTTATTGTATTATTATTATTATTATTATTATTATATCTGAAATAATATGGAAAAAATATAATCTAATAAGATATCAAGTAAAAATGCTGTGTAAGAACAGTGGCGGATTTAAGAGGGGTGTCAGGGGGGTCCTGAACCCCTTCAATTTCTAAAAAAAAAATCCCCACTTGAAATTGGAATTTTGACTTGCTGAATCATAGTTCTAAACAGTACCGAAAGGCACCGTTCGCCCTCCAAAATACCGAGCCCCACGCCACGGGGGCCTGTCAAAGCATCCGCGGCCTGTAAGTCCTAAAAAACCGGACCCCCCTTAAAATAATCCTGGATCCGCTCCTGAAGAATATACATTGTGGCTTTTTTTTTATTAAGTATTAACATCGAACACAACGCAACATGTTACGGTATGCACCATTTCGGTTTGGTTAGATTATTGTCCCTCGCCCCCAAATAGGTTAATAAGAGAAAGATAGAAGATAAGAAACGGAGATAGAATGAAGATGCAAAATTGTTGAGTTGTGAGGTTCGATTTGATGTTCACCGATCGAGAAGAAGTAAGCAACAAGAGTCTTGGATTTCCAAACACTTTTATTCCCTACTGCTTAAGTTCGGGACGCCACCGCGTCCCTTAAAGCCTTACCATGACAGTAGCTACAGTACATAAGAACTTTTCACAATTCTCTATTCTCAACGATTTCTTTGAAAAAAAAAGATTTTGTAAAAAGAGGAAGAATGATTATATTTCCTAGGGGATAATGTTTGCAAATAACAGGAACAAACTGTTACAGATATATTCTTGAAAGACTGCCTCTTGTGACATGAAAAAACAAAGAATGAAGCCATGTACAGATGTAGGTGTAAATAATAAGAACACTTTTTCAAGAATTAATTTTGTCAGTATTGAATACCATGTACAAAGGAATGTGGAAACATCACCTCCCCCCCTCCACTCCCGCTCAGTGTAGAAAGACACAATAGGGAGGAAAATATGGGGTGGTGAAGCTAGGTGTCATCTTCAAGACAACATTAATTGAAGAAATTCCGGGATGAATGCATAGTGGAACTTCTTTTAATTTTTAAAAAGATTTTTCGAAAAAAAGGAACAAAGATTATATTTCCTCATGGGAAATGCTTTGAAATAACAGGAACAAACTAGACCGTTAAAGATGTATTCTTGAAAGACTTTCTCTTGTGACAGGAAAAAGAATAAAGTCATGTAGATGAAAGTAATAAAAAACAATTTTCAATAATAAATTTTAGCAGTACTTAATAAGTTTGAAAATTTTTGAAACTTTATAAAGTATATTTTTATTTACTGCCATTTCTTATATATGCCGATAATTTAAATGTATGCACCAGTGATAAGACTGAAATAAACTAAACAACTTTGTAGGAGAGAAATTGCTGAACGGTCAAGCGATGTGAGGTACGCACGCAACTTCCCACGCACAGCAAATAACACGGTACGGAAAAAATAACAAATAAGATAAAATAATGGGTAAAAACTGAGCTTTAGTAATGGGAAATTTAATAATTTGACCTAAAGGGATGGATTAAGACGACCAAAACCTCAGATGGGGATTTTTTGTCTCTGCGCCTGCTTGTCCCTATCACAATTGACGTCTGTTTATATAACCTATCAATCAAGCTGTTATTACCTGACGGGATCTGTCAAAACTGAATGATTTGATTGGCTCGTTGTCAATCAAATGGTGAAGGAAGCTGGCACTTCACATGTTCGACAACTGTAGTTATCAACTGCGTAATGATTGTGACTGACGTTTGTTTATAAAACTGTCAATCAAAGTCGTGTGCTTTTGGCAGCTTCCGTCAAAATTGAATTAAACCGTATGAGTTTGATTGGTACCTGTCTATCACAACACTTTTGTTACCTTTAGTTAGCAGAAAGCATGCGAGTGTGGTGCCCCCCTACAAACAGCCAACCACATCGCAGAGACTTGTCAGCTGCATCAGTGCCCAGGGTTGGACTCACGCAAGTCGTTAGACGAAAGAGCTAAAGACTGGCTTGAAAATGCCAATATAATCCTTTGACTTTTGATTTTTGAGTGTACATTACCTGGATAAAAAACGGACATACTAATATATATAGTAGAAAGCAAAGTACATTTTTCTATGCAGCTCCATTAAGTCTCAGTTCCTACCAGTCCTGATAGGTACGTCTCGACAGATACGTCTTGACAGATAACTGGACCCGATACTTCTATGTTCCCGCGCCTTTTTAAACCCAGGTACCGATAAATGCACGTGCCGATAGAATAATTAGACTAGAGTTTGAAAATGCTATCTAATGGTGGCACCTTATTTATTTTTAATCAATTAAAATTATTTCTTGTAATTAAACATCAATTACCATAACTGAGGGCCATGGGGAAGACAAAAAATTAATTTACTATTTTAATGAATAAATAAAAAAATTCGCTTTGTTATTTATTATAAAAAGCATTATATTTACAACGCGACCTTCAAGTTTGATGCGGATTACCGTACAAACATTGGCAGCGTTGCTAGCTCTCAAATGCTACTTCATTCTTCAGTAAGACTTGTGCTCTGTGAAAAATAAACATACGGAGATATCTGCGCCCAAATATATACTAAGCTCCATAAAAACATGTAATATGATCATATAAATTTTGAAAGTTCCCTTTCAGAAAATGCGTCCTTACTCTGAAATACTGGTACAGACTGAGAACATGCGTTTTTCAGGCGTCTGGACTGGTAGTTTAATTTGGTGCATGGGGGGGGGGGGGGGTAATATCCTCAACTTTGCAAAAGTGATCTTCTAAGAGTAAGTAGTTGTAGCTGAAGTTTCGTTCGCAAAGGTAATTGAAACATTTGGCAGTATTGTTCGTACGCTAGTTTTCTCAGCCCCCATACGAGGCTGCCATTGGGTTTTTTCCTTACCTGAGAAAGCCACTATTTACTTCTCAAAATGCATGACACGTTCATTTTATTTAGCGTGAAGCACCCCTTTCCTGTGACTCGTACATGCAGTTTTTTTATTCTCCGTTTTTCGTGAAAGTAAGTCGTTATACCCGGTGATTCATGAAACGTGATTTTTGACGCGCATTTTCAGTGAAATTTGAATAAAGTTTTAATTACTGCGATTTGTGAATTGATAATTTTATTTCCCGTGAATTGTGATCACCCCCCCTCCCCCAATGGTACCCTCTCTGGGCTGTATCCTCCCGAGGGAGGTGAGGACATTTACACCTATTCTGAGTTTTTATGTACTTTATAAAACACATCTGTGGCAGCTCCAGTTAACTAAGCTGTACTCACTCTAGGTCCTAATGAACACTGCCACTAATTTTAACGTTCTATACAAATCGGGTAAACAAAAAACGCATCTTGTCTTCTCTAACACAATCGGTAAAGGTGACTTTTTTTTTGGGGGGGGGTGAAACATAGCCAAATAATTTGATATCAAACTTATTGGTTGATTAGATATTATTAGTTTTGCCATTATGATGGTAGAAAGCCTAAATTACCATCCCGGAATTAAGACCCCTTGTGCCATTTCAAATGACAAAAGCAAGTTTAAATCGAAACTTGCGTTCAAATAGCGGGTGCCCTGTACATTATTATGCAATACAGGTGAGCATTTCGGTGAGAGGTGTTCAGGTAGGACCAAGGTCAGTAGAAGATGGAGAAGACAGAGGTTCTTGGTACGTTGCTCCAATTTCCACATGTAGGACAAAATTTAGCACAGAAAATGACAAGAAGCTGTCGTAGTATTGTATAGGTGATATAAGATAACGTTGTGTATTTTGTGTTGACGACGTTTGCCCAAATGATGCGTTTCGCACAGGGACATTTTAGTCCTTATGACTGTGGGGACATTACACTTATGTACAATACACTCTCCATTAAAATGTCAAAATCAGCTCAAAGTTTGAATGATTTATTTTCTGTAATTTCAGAGAGGGAACGCACTTTCCAATGAGGAAGTGAGAGGCTTATTGCAGCTGTCCAAAGGTCTGAACAAGTCTTCAACAAGTAAGACGACTGGGCAGGTATCTACATTCTCCTAATTGTTTTATTGGCGAGGTCATTGACCTGTTTTCAAGGTATCAAAAATATATATGTTGCATATGAAAGTAAACTTCAAACAGACAAATGCACGTTCAGTAACAAGATGTTGAACTATTGCGTCATTGCATTCCTGGAAACGACGGGACCAGGTTGGGGAGGTGAGGGGTGGGTGGGGGGTGGGCGGGGGTACAGTGTCCTTCCCTTAATTTAAGAGGTATCCCTTCTCTCTTCCAAATTAACAAATCAAAACAAGAACAAGAACAAATGAAAAGCGGAAAAAATGTACATGAAACGAAACTGGACGAAATCCAGTTAATGTATCTTCGTATCCTCACCCCCTCCCCCTGAAAACCCTGGCTGGGTCAGTGAAAACGTGCCTAATGTCTTTTTTTAGATCCTGTCAAATTTATACTAATTGGGCCCATCTGCCAAATGTTTTCATTCACTGACTTTCATTTCCGTGAATATTTCTGTTATCCGGGAGACTGGTCCTTTCATATCGCATCTTACGTATTAATGCAAAGAAGTATGTTGTCATTAAACAGTGTGCACAGGGTAGAAAAGAATAGGAATGGCACAATAGTGTTTTGTTAATATAATCCCTTGTGTNCTCTTCCAAATTAACAAATCAAAACAAGAACAAGAACAAATGAAAAGCGGAAAAAATGTACATGAAACGAAACTGGACGAAATCCAGTTAATGTATCTTCGTATCCTCACCCCCTCCCCCTGAAAACCCTGGCTGGGTCAGTGAAAACGTGCCTAATGTCTTTTTTTAGATCCTGTCAAATTTATACTAATTGGGCCCATCTGCCAAATGTTTTCATTCACTGACTTTCATTTCCGTGAATATTTCTGTTATCCGGGAGACTGGTCCTTTCATATCGCATCTTACGTATTAATGCAAAGAAGTATGTTGTCATTAAACAGTGTGCACAGGGTAGAAAAGAATAGGAATGGCACAATAGTGTTTTGTTAATATAATCCATTGTGTTCCAAAATAGCATGCTGTAAAGGTATGCACATACTGCTTCATCAAACCGTGTCGTGAATGTAATTTTCTTTGTTTATTTCAGTGGCCCCCAACTGCTGTTTACCGGGTGATTGGATGCGTCGCTGATCAAAGACATCAGATTCATGTTGGACATCGCCTGCGCCCATGCCAAGATTGTCTCGCTTGTTGAAGTTTGTCTTGTAGTTTATTTACAGGGTTGACATTTGTTATGAAATGTAATCTTTGCCTTGGATAGTAATATTCTGCATAAAATGTGTATAAAAATAATTGTTGTACGCAGCAAGAATTTTTAACGAAACTTCTGATCAGAGAAAAAGAAAGAAATGAATGGCGTCGACCCTGCATGTCGCTGATTATACATTATAGATTTGTTTCTAAATCGTGGTACAGTACTCTATTCGCTCACATCGTTTCAAGGCATTTTATTTATTATGTATATTTATTATTGTGTCGGAAGGAAGTACCCATCAATTCTAAAACAAAAATACGGCACTTTTTGGAGTTCACCTTTAACAAAATAATTTTAATGCAAAAAGTATTTTGCTGAAATGATGGATGAAAACAAAAATGATAGTTATCAAATATTATTATTATTATTATTATTATTATTATTATTATTATTATTATTATGCGATTTTTAGGTAGAGTACTGCGCCAGCACTTTTGAGAGACAAACGGTTTCATACAGTGACCGTTAAGTTTGAGAAAAGAACAAGTTGTTAATTTGAAATAACTTACAATCACTCTTCTTCAAGTTATAATGCTTTGGAAATCACAGTTTTAGGAAAATGATAAAATTTGTCCACGTGGTATAAAAAACGATCCTTTTTTAATTGTGGATATACGTTTGTGACGCATGTTAAGAATGAACTTACTTTGGTTTCGGTGTTTTGATATTTTGTCTGATCAGTGACAGATACACATGTACTATGCTGGGAGGGGTCTAAAACGATGTTAAGAAAATGAAACCAGGAGAGAAATAGGGATTTTCACGAAATTACTGCGCATTCGTTATCGCAGTAGGGGGAATACATGTTACCAACGTGATAAAAATTGTCCCTTCTTGGGGCCACCAAAATTTATCAGCATTGCATGAGCTCATTTGTGTGTTGTTCGACTTTTTGGCAATATCGCAAAGCAGAAATGTAAGTGCTCCCCTGGAAAAACTTCTTTGTACATATGCATAAAAATATCTATGTGAAACTGAAATTTGTTATAACCTTTCCATTTTTAATTTCCAAAATTTACCATGCATTTCAAATTGATTACTTCAGCCATCACAAAACATTGTTTGGGAGGGGTGGAGGGCAGGGGGGTTAAAGAGTTGTCCCAAATAATTCACTGAAGTTCCGTTCACCCATGTACCTTGTTCGAAGTGCATTATTAATTAGCATTTCTTTGGATGTGATTGAGGGGTGATTGAGAGAAAAAGGTCTGATTAGATGCCAGTCCCGCGCGTCCTCTTGGGGTATTTTTGCTAAGTGTTTCTTGATCACAGAGCACCGGAGACCATAGTAAGGGTGTTAGCATTTGTGTATAAATGAATCACCGTTTTTCTTTCTGCGTAATCTTCTCAGTTTTGTTTCTATATTTGTCATGACTAGAATAAGCTTGGAAATTGACCATGTCTTTATGCCGTTCCTGATTTGCATATGTGCAAATTTAAGTTTTCGCTCAAAGTCGTGCCATTAACCTACCAATATTAAGGATGTAATAAAA